TTCGCACACGCAGGCTGCCCAAGGGAGACTTAAGGATCCCAGCCGCCACCTGCCCATCTCTGGCATCTTTACAGAGGCTGGGCGCTGCACCTGGCGCGACTCTGCCTCTCCGTGCTGGCACCCCTGCCCTGCCCCCACGAGGGCACCCCTGCTTCCCCTCTGAGGGCCCTGCGCCAGCAGTGCCTTCGCTCCGTCCCCGGCACCACAAGTCAGCTCCTGGGTTTTCTGCGGCTCACTCGCCCCGCATCGGCCACCACGGGCCCGGCCCGATGCCCCAGGGCGGCCGCAGCGGCCACCTACCCGGCAGCAGGAAGAGCGGGCCGCCGTAGTCGCCCGCCCAGTGCCCATCCTCAGCCTGCAGCCCCGCGTAGAACACCATCCCGTTCAGAGCCGCTCGACGGGCCGTGTCGGCTTCGGGCAGGTCCCTGAAGTAACTCCCCTGCCGAGGAGGACAGAGAGACGGGAGCCGGGGGCCTGGGGCCGGGCCGGGCGCCGCTCGCTGGCGGCCCAGGCCAAGGCCACGAGTCCGAGCTCCCTGGAGGGTCACCGGGCGCCGCTCGCTGGCGGCCCAGGCCAAGGCCACGAGTCCGAGCTCCCTGGAGGGTCACCCGTCGCAAGTCTGCGAGCACCGCTCCGCAGAGGAAGGCAAGGCTCCCCGCCGCCAACTTCCAGACCCGCAACTTCGCCCGGAGCCCGCGCGCGGGGTGGGGCGCCGCCGCGCGAGCCCCCTCAGGGGACGCCCTGGACCGAGGCTTCGCCGTGGAGGCCGCGCCCCCCGAGCGAGTCCGCAGGCCCCCCCCGGCCCCGGCGCCGCACTCACGGGGTCCAGGCCCAGCGAGTGCGCCTCCAGCGCCGTCTGCCCGCGGCCCGGGCCCGCGGCCCCCGCCAAGTACGTCCACGTCTGCCTGCCGCGCTCGCTGCGCAGGCGCCAGCGGCTGAGGTCGGTGGCGGGCTCCGTCTTGTAGGGGCCGCCTCGGCGACGCAGGCACCTGGGGGCGAGGCGCTCGGCTGAGCCGCCGGCCCACCCGTGTCCCCGCGGCCGCCGCGCTCCCTTCCCACAGCCCACGGGCGGGCGCCACTGCACGCCCCTCACAGAGGAAGAGCTCCGCGCGCCCGTTCCCGCCACCCCCGCGGCGCCTCCGGCGTGCCCGGCCTTCCCGGGGGTCCCGGCGGGACGCGGGGACTCACGTGCCCTCCGTCATGACCGCTGCCGCCCGCCGCCCGCCGCCCGCCGCCCCGGGTCAGGCCGCTGGCCCCACACCGCGGTCCCCGCCCGCTCGCCTCGGCAGACCTCGCGGGGTGCGGTGGGCCGATGCTTCTGCAGCCAATCAGAGCGCCGCGAAGGCGGGCCCAGGGCGCGCTCGGCCGCCTCAGTGGTCGAGAGCCGGACGACGCAGCGCCATGAGGGCGGGGGCGGGGCCTGCGCGGGGCGGGGCCGGGCTGGCGGCGAGGACTGGGCAGGACCGTAGCCAGGGGCGGGGCCGGGGCGGGGCCTGCAGTCACCCCGGGAGCTCGCGTCCGCCCCGGAGCGGCGTGAGGCGACGCGCGGAGGCGGCGGCCGGTCGTCACCTAGTGGTGACTGGTAAGAAGAATCTTAGGAAAATGTGAAGACAAAGAGGCCGCGGGCGCAGGGGGGATCTGGGAGAGAGGCTCAGGCTGGGGGAGCCTGCGCGCTGGAGACGAGTGCGCGAGGGGAAGCCGGGAGCCTGGAGGTGAGGGCGCCGCCGGGCGCTGAGGTGGGAAGGCTCCTCGGAGGAGGAGCGGGCACGGTGGCGGGGACCTGAGGGGAGGCAGTCTCCGCCGCTCGCGGGGGTGCCCGGCGTCGGGGGGGGAGGGGCCAGGAAAGCTCAGACGTGAAGGGAAGAGAGAAGGAGACCGCGGGGCCGAGCGTGAAGGGGACGCGGGCCGGGCGGCGAGCCGCGAGCCTCTGCCGGAGGAAGCGGTGCCCACACGGACGCGGAGGGGCCGAGCGGCGGCCGGCAGGAGCCCGGCGGCCGGCTGCGCGCGCTCCAGCGCGGCGTCGTGCCCGCGTCCCTGCAGGCCTGCCCGCGCCTTCCCTCGAGGGCATACGCCGGGACTTGGGTGTGGTCGCTCCGGAGCCTGCCTCTTCCTGCCGCCCGGAGGCCGCTGACGACGCCGCAGCGGAGACGTGACACCGAAACACCGGGCCTCCGCGCAGCGG